CGTGTGAGGCTCCGACCTTCCGCCAGCCCCGCAAGCCCAGAGTCCCGGCTCCCGTGCGCGGGCAGGGTTCACTCCTACCTGTTGTGCGCGCGTGAAACCAGACTTTCCCGGAGCCCAGAGGAACAGCTAGCCACTCAGCTGTCCCCGCACCCAGTTCTGCTCCTTCTTGGCAGGCTCCCGCCCCTTCAGCCATACGCCTAATTCTCCGACCTGTTCCCACACCCGGAGGCCCAACTTCCTCCACCACTTTGCTGCCGCGACCACCCCAGGGTCCCCGAAGCAGCTCAACTCACCGTGCAGGCCCTGGAGTGTCGCCCCTCCCCGCCGGCAGGCTGCCGGGACACCGCCCCCTCGCGCTGGGAGCCGCCTCCACTGCCAGGTTCCCCAACTGCTCTACTCGCGGGGTTCTCCACCGCTCAGCGCCGGTGCCAGTCTCACCACGATACCGGCTTCTCAGCAGCGTAGAGACTTGCCGGCGGCGGCGACTGCGAGTCAGCGGGACAGGAGTGGCGGGCGCGGGGCGGAGCCGGAAAGCTCGGAGCCCCCAGCGCGGCGGGACAGCGATTGGGAGCGCGCCCTATTCCGCGGCGTGATCCGAGGCCCCGCCAGTCGGCCATCGAGCCATCGAGCGCCCACTGTGGCAGGCATGACTGCTCCACCGCCGAGAGAGCGATGGAGAAGACTGTGGCCCAAACAGAGGGCAGGGCAGTGGCTCTGCAGTCCGGAGATATTGGCCACAACGATTTTTGTCTGTTTTTATCACTGGCCAGAATCCTTAGGGGGGCGGCATTAGGGCATCTGAAGGCTAAGCCACAACTGGAGCCTGAAGAAATGCAGGCAGGGAGTGCTGTAGGTATTGTTGACTTAAACAGATAAACTGAGGCAAGCTCAAAGAGTTTATTCAGGAATAGGAGAGGAATTGCAATTTGAGACAAGAAAATTGTCCGTCGAGGGTTTGGGGTACGTTGTTTATGGGCAGGGAATGTAAAAAGGGGAGAGTTCAGTTAGAGTCAGTTAAGATCAAAAAACAAACAAACTAGCTTTGAAAATTTCTGAGCCCACAAAATCAATCACACAAATAAAGCTCAATTCACCCCTTTTTGCAAGACCAGCCCAACCTGGGTCATCTGTTCATGCTTCTGGCAAAACTTCCCAACGTTGAGACAACTTCTGACCAACTCCCCATTACCCAAGAAAATTCCAACACTATCAGTTCTCTGTAAATCAGGCATTTACAGGAAATCGCCTCCTGGTCCTTACATTTTGTCTTCCTGAGGGCACATGCTTGAGACT